TTTCTTCAGAATTTACCAAACTTCAACCAAACTGTTGAAGATGAAAAGAAGAGAATAAAAATCCTTGAAGAACGCTGTCTTCAAACTGGAGGACCAGGTGTATGGGAATTATTAGGACCCGTATTAACCAAATACGTAGATACTTTTAGAGAAAAAGATGAATATGCAACCCATGTAGACCCAAAAGTAATAGAACCTGTTAAAATAGTATTAAAAGAAGGAGTAGATGAATCGAAAATATCGTGGAATGTGAAAGCACAAAAGAAACGAAAGTACTCTCAAGAAGAATTAGAAATAATCAGAAAAATGAGAGACGACTTATTAAAAAATAGAATAATATTTAGTGGAAATACTGACTGGAGAAGTCCATGTGTAGTAATAGAAAAGAAGGATGGAACAAAGAAAATTGCAATCGATTATAGAATGTTAAACACCTTCTTGCTACCGCTAAGAGAACCGCTACCAGATACAAAGCAAATGTTACAGAAAATATCAATGTACAAATACTACATAACAATGGATATTAAATCCGCATACTGGCAAATACTAGTACACGAAGATTCACGAAAATACACCGCAACAGAATTTGCAGATTTCGGAACATATTGTTGGAAAGGAATGCCGTTTGGAATACAAACTGCACCAGCGTACTTAATAAGAGCAATGAATAAAATACTAGGACATTTACCATTCGTAATAGTATATATGGATGATATAGTAATAATGCTAAACTCAAAAGAAGAAGCATGTGAAAAACTAACGAGGACGTTAGAATGCTTAAAAAAAGCGCGCCTGAAGATAAAGCCATCAAAATGCGAATTCTTAGTACAGAAAACAATTATATTAAACTGTGAAGTATCACACGGAAAAATTGGAAAGAATGTACTGAAAATAGGAAATGTAGACAAATTTGAGGTACCAAAAGATAAACAATCACTACAACGATTTTTAGGATTTATGAACTACTTTAGATCTTTTATATTAGACTTTGCAAAAATTACATCACCACTCTATGAAAGAGTAGGAAATAAAGACTTTGAATGGACACCAGAATGTCAAAAAGCAATAGAAACATTAAAAAGAGAAATAAAACGAGTACTGGAACTATCATATCCAGATCCACACCAACCATTCTTTATGGAAACAGATGC